TTTAACCATAGAAACACCTTCGTAAGCATGTGCGCATGCTATTAATAGAGTACAAGGTTTCCCATCAGTGAGAACAGATACAAAATACTGTAAAGGGGGCAATTATTCATTGGGTTTTAATTTAGCTTATTTCGCTGACTGGAAAATGCGCTAAATTAAAACCCAGTGAATATGTAAAATTTAGCATCTAATGACGAAACCGTGAATTTAAAACCCACTGAATATGCCTGAAATGGTAAATCAGTGAAATTTAAACCCAGTGAAAATTAGTCATTTTACAGTATATCAGTTTGTTTTTTTCTTGGCAAAACCAAGTCTTAAGTAAAAGTGTTTAGTTCAAAAATATATACACTATGAATCTTTATCCGATATTTTCTTAACATACACTGACTGCATGTTAACACATTGAGCTATATGTGCTTACATAAATTGATTATTATTACAATGTACTATGAATTGCACCTTCCAACAAATGGAAGCAAACTAAATAATAAATGTAAATATAACATTTTATCTAATATACTGCTGTAGAGAGACTGCTTTACCAAAAGTTATTTTTTGACATACAACTAGACAAAGCAAGATTTCTTCAATATTAATATAACAAACGTGCATGACCTTGACCTTAAAAAATGTAGCATGGTTATGTGTGCTGATTTTGAAGATGCTGGCTACATTTCTTCCAAATAGTTGTACAACATCACACAAAAATACATACTGTGACCTTCACCATTGTTCTTGAAATGATGTCCTGTAGGTCACATGGAAAGCTTGTGTGCCAAGTTTGAAGTATAAAGCTATTTCCACCCTTGAGTTATATTACAAACATACATACATAGAGCATTGTATGCTCCAAGCTGGCACAGGTAATAAGGCACAATATTTCTATGCAACAATGTCCTTGACAACATACCCTACATTGTAGTTGATGTATTTACTATAAGCCACATCATCAAAATATTGCTTTAACTGTACTGCATATGTACATGTCTTAGTTAATGAACATTCTTATTGGCATGATGTCATTGTGTATTGGGCTGTTCATCTCATCATTCCCTACAAGGTTATTTTTTACTGTCATTGGAATTCTTGGGACTGGCAGCTTCTTGCTTGATCTGAGGAGCAAAGAAAAATTGGTATTTAAAAACTAGAATAGTGATTGGCAATGTTGTATAGATACCGTAGTAAATGTCCCTGGAATTCGATTCGATTCAATACAAATCACTGAAATGCTTCAACGAAATAAATCATATGCGGTTGATTATATTGTTATCATCTGCAAGTTCTATGGGTACTTTAGTTGGTTTTTTAGTATGCTATATGGAAAGCACTATAGCAACAGGGGTAAAATGTGCTTCAGACATTTTCTAAAAGTTTCAATATTCCTGTAAGATTGGGACATTTTTGTATAATTAAACAATCTTCCAAATAATAATGTACTTTATTTTGAGTACTAGCTCATCTAAACTTAACCAAAGTTACAGAAAAATAAGAATAAATTCCAAGAAAATGTACATAATAAATATGTTAAAAAACATGGCTCAGCCAAGTACTCAAAAGCATACTACATTTCATTACATCTGGGCTATAAATAGCTGTAATTATTGCATTCTTACTTTTTATAATTCTTAAAAAGAAATTCGCCATTTCTTTTCTACGAAGAGCTTCAAAAGTAGTGACACGATTATGTACAAGGGTTTGAGTCATACTAATATCCCTCTTGCCAAGCTTCAGTAAAATTCTAAATGCATTATTATATGCAACACGAACTCGATTAATCTGCCCTTTAATATGTATAGACCACAAATGGGAGCAGTACATAGTCATACAGTAACTCTGAAACAATTTAATTTTTATTTTTGAAGAGCAGTAAATAAGCCAGTTTGCTCTAGCGTAAACAATTTTCATTTGTCTATTAATATCATCACTATCATCTCCATGTTTATTAATGACCACAAATTGTCAACAAAATGCACTGCAACAACATTCAAAAATACGCATGGAATTTGTCTAATTCTACAACGAGGAGGTACCGGTACCATAGAAAAATAATACTGTTTGATACAGAATATATACAGCAAATAGCACTAGTCTT